GGGCGTCCCTGCTGTGACTGGCACTGTGTGCGGACTGACAAATGGGAGTCGTTCGAGAAATTCCCTCTGGCTTTTATCCCCAGTCAGCCTCGGCTGTTTTATTTGGAGATTACAGCGCTTGTTGATGTGATACTCTGTTCCGACATCAAAGTTTGACTGATCTCGCGGCAGTGTTGAAATCATCCTGTTGAAAAACTTTCAAAAAGCTCTTGAAACACCAGGGTATTGCTCCGGCTGTAAGGTCCCAGGTGGTTTTGTGACTTCTTTTCTTTTGAGGTATTTCCACGTAATCAAACATCTCATCTTTGATGAGAACAATCACGAATGGACCACAGAGCTCATAAACAACAGCAAAATGATGAGTGAAAAGACAAGAGTTTGAATAGTCTCATTCACACTCCCACGAGTCAGTGATGATGTACACAGTAGGGAATGTTGTAGATCCTCCTTCAATGCCAACGAACAGAAGTAGAATGCATTACCAACGGCAGCTTCTTTCAGCAGTGAAGTCCAAAACTGTCAATAGAGAGAGAAAATCGAAAATGAAATGTCTTGAATATTATTAGAGCAAATCGAGATTTGTTTCCTCTAGAGTTTCAGAAGAGATCTCAATAATGTCAAATTGAACAAAAGCTAATTATCTGAGCAATATTATATCCCCAATATGTCGATAATTGTTTAATTTGAATCAATTTTATTACTCCTGTAAAAAATGTTTCTTATGTGAAACACAAAAAAAACAATGCCATTACTCTCAGAAAAAAAGCTGTCACTGGGGCTGTATCTTTTCAAAAGGTACACTTTTGTACCTAAAGGGTGCATATTGGTACCTTAATGATACATATTAGCACCTAAAATGTACATATTAGCACCTAAATTTACATATTAGCACCTAAATGTACATAATAGCACCTAAAATATACATATTAGCACCTAAATGTACATAATAGCACCTAATGTACATAATAGCACCTAAAATGTACAAATTAGCAACTAAATGTACACATTAGCACCTAAAATGTACATATTTGTACCTAAATGTACATAATAGCACCTAAACTGTATATATTAGTGCATAAAATGTACATATTAGCACATAAAATGTACATATTTGCACCTAAAATGTACACATTAGCACCTAAAATGTACATATTAGCACCTAAATGTACATAATAGCACCTAAATGTACACATTAGCACCTAAAATGTACATATTAGCAACTAAATGTACATATTAGCACCTAAAATGTACACATTAGCACCTAAAATGTACATATTAGCATCTAAAATGGAAAAAGTTTACCTTTTGAAAAAGGTACAGCCCCAGTGACAGCTTTTGTTCCTTTTTTCTGAGAGTTCACAATAGATGTCAGTGGAGTCCAAAACAACATTGGACCCCACTGACATTCATTGCATGGCCAAACAAAAAAACAGAGACATTTTTTCAAAATATCCTTTTTTGAGTTCCACACATTTTTGGGAGAATTATCCCATCAAACTAAAGATCAACCTACTAGAAATTATAACACAACTACCCCGAGCCATTAAAGAGCAACTTTTGAGGAATATAATTAATATTTGCTTACATTCATATGATTCTAATTGTGTCTTCAACCCAACATCCCTGTATTTATTGCCATTGAATCACAACACAGAGAAGATTACATGCTTGTTGATCCTCTTCAATACCGCTAATCTCAACAAACGTGCGGATACAATGACTAAAAAATCAAAGCTGACTTATCTTTCTGTGGCCAAATGCATGAAGGATCAGGGGTCTGTATTAAGAAATGATCAAATGAATCGTTGTGTAAAAAAATCATTTGATGCATGATCGGTATGACGGATGAAACAAATCCCGTTACTGTCGGACTGCCAGCGCAGTCGGTACATCTCCAGATTTGACACGTGTCATGCCGGTGCACTTTCCTCTTGTGTCCATAGCAACCAAGCACATCGTAGGATCTACTGCAGTGCTGACAGCTGATTGGTGATAGCGCTCTGATGTTGCGTTGACTCCTCTCATGATTTGAACCTGAGAATTGATTATCATCACAGTGAAGTGGAAGGAAAACATCAGCTGTCAGTTCTCACTGTACTAGAAAAATTGTGATTTCACACGCAAGTCCTCACAGGTTATGAAAATATATTTACTTTATTCACTTGAGGTCAAGACTGTTTCCAGAATCATTTTAAATGCCACATTAAAAATTAGTGGTGTTTGCTAAAGCTCATAATTTGAGTCAACAAACCATACTGTTTAAATCCGACCGTCATACGAAACTTAGCAAACTCATACCAATTTGCTAAAAACCATTCAGAACAATGCCCTGCCAACTGCCCACAACATTAGCACATTAGCAGTGAGATTTGTGCATGCAATCGCCCCTCATATTTTGGGCAGGAAATGTAAAAGTCTAGTTAATTATACAGAAATTCCAACGAGAGGCCAAATGCCAACCCTTCCCTCTGAGATATGACCTGTGTCTGCTGCAGACCACTATTTTTACATCATTTTCAATTATCATCTAAAACAGGCCAGAGCCCCTGAGGAAAGGAGCCCGATTTCAATGCCAAGTCCTTTTTATTGCGACACACTGCAGTTTTCCACTTTCCCCTTTTTTTAATGTCTGATACAAGAGATCAGAATGGCATTAATGAATGTGAAAGGCAAGCAGAGCAATATGAAGTAATTTTAACTCTAGCATCACAATTATTACTACGCAGAACATTGCAAAGCAACGCAAAGCTCAGGGGTTTGATTCCCATGGAATGCATGGACTGATAAAATGTGAAAGCAATGTAATCACTTTGGATAAAAACACCTTGCAAATGCTTGAATGTCATTATTTAAAATTCGTAAGTTTACACCGTGTCTACGCAACATGTGAACGGCGCGATATAAGCAAATAAAACCCATTATAATCAGTGATGCTGTCTACACTAAATGCGGTGCTGCGTGACAAGACAGTATGAATGAATGAGGCATTTATATAGTGATATAATATGTACTAATGTACACCCCATGCGATTTACACATCACAGATCACATCTCCCCTCAATCATATGTCCCCTTAACCCTCCCCAGTGTGGGCCATCCACTGCCATTGGATGATCCGATCCGATGTTTTTGAATAAAAAAACCAAGCGAATGTCATAAGTTGACCTCAGACAACAATATAATGACATTTTAAAAGCCAGTTCATGACCCCTTTAATTATAATTTAAAACAATTCAAATGTAGCATGTAACTAGCCATATATCAAAGGACCAGAATAACATATCATCTCTTTGACTTTGTTCAGTAAGCAAGCACCTAAAAACACGCAGAATATCCTAGTAACCAACCACACAACAACATGTTGGTAATCACATAGCAAACATCATGCCAACCGCCCACAACACATAAACCACCCTTGAGCTTGAGCTTTTTTTTTTTGAGACTATGTAACAATTACTTCTACATTTCTACTCACCTGTTTGCCATATCTCTAACATAAATGAAAAGTGAATATGGCGGGGATGGGCCTCAGATCCATTCTGCTAAACGTTTCTGAATGCATAAACGCATGATAAAGTGCCATTGTCCAGGATAATTACTTTAGAGAAGTGCTCTGGTTATGCACTAAATGCTGCAAAGTTTAGTGTGACACTGTTTTAATGATTTGAGACACAGGGGGTTCATCAAAGTGGCCTGAGCTCACGGAATGACTGACAGATAAATTAATGTTGTCAAGTCTAGGAGATGAATGATACAATCCCCTTTGAGCCATCGCTGCAGGGCTGAAGGATGAGACAGCCCTCTTCTGAGGTTTTGGCCTTTCATCCCATCAACTCGACATCCGTGGAACTCACTCAAAGACAGCAACAATGCTTAAAAACAAACACGAGGGAAAAGGGACTTAAGAGGTTTTAGAAGGTTTTACCGAAGTACCTCTGAAGTGGAGCCGCAGCTATTAAGACGCAACTTACTGACTTTTGAAAAACCCCATTGATACATAAAAAAAAAAAAAAAAACACATTTCGGTAGTAGGCGCGAATAGATCCATGCACCTTTATTAAAATTCCACGGCTTTCTCAGTTGGAATACTAAGGAGTTACACATGGGAAATCAGACTGTGAGAACTTGCTTTTAAGAGAATAGCAGTGAAGATAATCCCAGTAGCTTTTAACACGACTGGAAAAGTTCATCAGCTACGTGCTACATGCTAGTTGTGCTAATCAAAGTGCCTGCTGAAACCTCTCTTTTTTCTCAGTTTTAGTCTTCATTTTTCCCACTGCATGGTGTGATAGCGCTTCTCATTTAATTCTATTTGGACTTCCTTCCTTAAGAATTTCATAAGGAGCTTGCTAGTAAGGCTCCATGGTGTGCATGTTATTCTAATCCATCTTAAAGAAACAGTTACCCAAAAGTAAAAAAATGTCTTCCTTAAAAAAATTTTCTTTAGTAAAAAAAAAAGACTTTCTTTCTTCTGTGGAACACAAGGGGACAAATTCTGAAGAATGCAATACAACAAATGGGAAGCAAAGCTTTCAAGCTTCTTAAAAAGACAAAAGTGGCCCAAATTACTCGGGCATGCAATGTCCTGATTTGTGAATGAATTTTTGAGACAGATTTTTTCAAAGAATCATTTGATCCATTTCACAAAACAATTCTGAATGATTCATTCATGCATTGAGAAAAAAAAAATAGCATTTTAGAATAGCATTAGCTCAACCGATGTGGTGTTTAAACAATGGCAGAAGTGGGAAGTATTAATAATAATGCACATTACAGCTATAAACAGTCTATGTTGTGTTAAATGTTACATTTCCATTCCTCCAAGTTGAGAGTTTGTAATCTCCAGCACCAAGGTGGATATACTGTAAGCAACAGTGCATTACTAACACAATCTTGTAAAGATTGAAAAATATACATTTCTCCAGACAATTTCCTAATGCCTGGTGCTTCCCTCGAAAACAAACCATTCGATCCACTTAAAAACCCAAAGGGCGTCATTTCCGACTCAGCACAAACCCTACGGTCAGTCCCCGAATGCTCCATTCGTCCCAGATGGCTGGAGACTTCCTTGGCGCTCCCCGTGAGCCATGAGTTATCTTTTTCTAATTGCTAGTTTATGTTTTAACACTTGAGTTGATCACAGCTCATTCCAAAACGGCTTCGCCTCTAATGACTTAACACCCCTCGATGACGACTGAGTTGCACTGCGTCGTAAATCACGCTAATTAAACGTACTCGTCATCACAGATGAGACGGAGATAGAGGTTGTGGAGATGGGGAAATGGCCATCATTTGTCGACATTTGCTTTCTGATTTACAGCGTGTCAAATGCAATATTGGGCGTTGATGATGTCGTGTCAAATCCAATTGAGTGTCCATTACCTCACCATAAACATAATAAAGGGGGCAACACAAGGAAATGGCTCTTGACACAGAAATATAACAATCAGTCATGGTTAAATGGGCTTGTACATCCATGTTCTCGATGTGTATTAAATTACGGAATATTTATCTTC